TCTATTACACCTGTTGTCTCTTATAGTAGTGTTGTGATTTTTTTGAATTTTACGAATTTTCATCATGCTTCTTTACATGCTCCATTGGCATGAGTTTATTTTATTCTTTACATTGCGCGTGAATTTCCATGTTTGACGCTCGACCGATTTCGATAAAATTTATATGGGACCACCTGGGAAGTATACCCTTTGAAACAAAAAAAAATCCAAATAGGTTCAGGCGTCATCGAGTAATCGGTGAACACTGAACACACATAAAAAAAAGATTCCGACGAATTGAGAACCTCATCCTTTTTGGAAGTCGGTTAATAATACAAAACTATAATACAAATCTTTAATCTTATCATAATAACAATTAATTTAACTCTTTTTATAAAATGTTCCTTTAGAGATTAGCTTACAATCGCCCCTTATATTTATGGCAATATGGCAACAAAGCGTAATAAAAAAAATAGGAACAAAAAAAAACTAAAATCGAATTGAAAGGGTCTGAGCTAAAACTAGATCTACCTATATCTGATCAACATTTTTTATCAGAAGGGCAAATGAAGCAGACATTTTATTCATTAACCTGACCTAGAATTGCGGATGACTAGGTTTCACGTGTAAGCAATCACATTTAGAAAAGATGCATTGAAAATTTTCAAACACGGTCAAGTGTGTAACTTTTCTACCTACCGAAACTTTCGCATGCCGCAGAGGTGAGCCGTTTAGTTAGTGTCTATTAAATGTAGGTATAGGTACCAAAATAAACAATGAAAAAACTAAATACGTATATAAATAAATATGTTGGGGTATTAATACAGCACCATCTAGTTCCATGGTAAACTTCGAGGCTTGAGTTATGGATACCAGATAGTTGATACATTGTATGTATTTTCATTTTTTCATTGTATTTTCATTTCATTCAGCCCTTTTTTTAACGTCCCACTGCTGGGCACGGGCCTCCCTTCAATATGAGGGGGATCAGGCCATAGTCCACCACGCTGGCCAAGTGCGGGTTGGCGGACTTCACATGTATTTAAAAGTTATATAGTGTAGTCAACTATCCCGTATCTATAACACAAGCCTCGTAGCTTACCATGGAACTAGATGGTGCTGTGTGTTAATGTCCCAACATATTTATTATAAAAATCTTTTACGATTTTCGCTTACATCTAAAGTACCTATCTATTAAATATATTTAACTTGTTTTTGCCCGTCGCTTCGCTCGCGTGGTAAGCAGGGCAGGGTTTAAGGGTAGTTTGTTAGTTGTCTGAACCCAGGATCTACGTCCTTGCCAAATATTATCCAAATCTGTTCAGCGATTTAAGCGTGAAAAGATAACATACAGTTATTTACACCTTTATAATGTTGTATGGATTATATCAAAAGCCGTAAGTAATTACATACATTCATTGCTGTAGTTTTATTTTCAGGCAATCGCACTTTACCTGCTCATTTTGATAAATTACTAAAATCTTGGTGCAACGGTAACAGACTAGAATGATTTTATATTGGTGCTTTGAAAATAACCTACGTTGATATATCAAAATGATCTAAGTAGGTAAAGCATATTAGTCTAAGAGTTTCTTTGACATGTGCAAGATAGATATTATATTATTAATATTGTATTAAAAACTGTGACCCCGTTTCTTTGAGTTCTTAGCAGAATTGCATTTTGAGTCAGTGGTAACTTCTCTAAGGAGCACGCTGTCCTATTAAGCTTTTAATAACTTATATCTTAATATATTTTTTATTAATTATATTTCGTAAGCCAACGTCGAGTACTTTAAAATATTATACAAAGAAAAAATAAAACGCTTACTTACTTATTGTTGTTTCATATACTGCTAGTCCGAAGTTATAATATGGCTTGGAGTTGTAGAATTGATGGAGGGAAAATTATTAATATATTCTTTTAATTTTACTATACAGGTGGAACCAATGGATAGGACATTGAAGAAAAGTAAATACTATATTGAAGTTATCAAGTTTTACTTAAAAGCAACATTCCTTTATTTTAAAAACTAATAATAATCGCATTAATTTATTTATTTATTTCAAAACTTACCTCAACCGGTAACCGAACCAACTAAAACGCAGTAGAATACGCCGCCACTATTTTATCGAACTAACCGATAGTGTCTAGGAAGGATCCACTTATTAACGTACTTTTCTTCTATGTTCCATCCAATTTTGTTCCACTTTGTATATAATTAATTGTAAGAGTTACCTAATATATGCATAGAAGTGATGTATTCGTAGCAGCATATCGTCTATATAAACAGATGCCTAAGAGTTATTTTCCATAGCCATTTTGAAGTTAAAAATGAAAGGGTGTACCACATGATAGGAAAAATTTTAAGAATCGCAGTGTGTCAAACAATATAATGTTAAGGATAATATCTCTTTTCTTATTAACAAATGTATAGACTAGATTTTTTTAAAGATTTTTAATAATTATGTAAGAAAATTTTAAAATCAGATAGATACCTTTTGATCCAGCGACTTCGGTAATATAAAAGCTCAATGTTACTCTCAATAAAGCTCAGTAGCTTAATAGCGTTTTATTTTTAATTTTAAATATTATTTTTAATGTATAAGCACAGAAAGTCTATGATTATTTGAAATCAGCAATGAGAAATAAAATGTAAATATTAAAATTAGTACAAGGTTCTAAATACTTTATAGGAGAAAAATAAAACAATTTCAATTTTTATAACTAAATTTATTTTCGGAACTATCATTTCGAAATCCTACGATAGTTGTCAAGACCAGCTTAAACATTGTTCCTAGATGACAAGATTTGAAATAAAATTAACGTCAATAATAACTTTTAACACAATTCTCCCACTTCATATCTCAAAACCTTTTTACATACATGTATTTAACGAGATAATTCATTGTTAAATATAATATAATAATAGTAAATGCTTTATTTTGTTACAGTGCTTTCTTAATAAACAATTTGTTTTTTCTCTCATGGTCACTATGTACGTACGTACACTCTACGAGTATGTACGACGTCGAAACTCAAAAGGCAGATATTGTTAAATATTTATATCGCAAATAATCTTGTGATGGAAATCGATTATAATTCGAAGACATTTTAAGTAGATAGCAAATCTTCTGAAAGTCCACTTCCTGTACGAGTATAATTGTCTTGCACACAAACTTATCTGATAGGTATATGTATTAAAAAAAAATTTCAATCTAATTGGTTTGGTCAATTAATTAATCCGTTTTAATGTAAACAATTAATTTGCTAATATTATATTTAATAGAAAAATAACAAGCGATTTTATTTTTATCAATTCGAACATCTAGCTTTAAAGGAAAGATGAGGGTTTAATCAGTAAGCATCCCATAAAATCCATCTGGTTACAGTAATATTCCCATTTCTGTTTCCAAATAAAACCAACGCACATTATGGGCTTACTTGGGTTTTCGTGTCCTCAGAACGTAAATTATAAAGTTCGTGTTCCTATGTTTTATAACATTTCGTATTTTATATTAGCTAGACGACCTAAAGCGAGCTTTAAATTTTATTAAAGGAATTTGCGTGACATGCCGAAAGCATGTTCGTAGTTTATTATAAATGAGATGAGTGTACCTAGGGAATGCCCTATGGTATGAACGAGATATTATCTACCGGTAGAGTATTTATAAGACTGTGTCTACAAGGTGACGCTCCGATGGCTTTACTAATTATACGGTAGAATTATTTCATGAAAGATGTCTCTTGAACAGATATTTCAAGTGATTTTACTTTTTATTATCTTACATTTGACTAAAGCAGTGATCGCGGCCATTTATTCTATAAAGCTACATTTCAATTTAAATTTATTGATAATAAAACCAAAAGCTCATTTTGATATTACACAATTGAAAGTGATAACTTTTATATTCCAGGAAGAGAACATTTATAGGCGTTTCAATTTTCGCAAACTTCGCATCACTAGCACGTATGAACGTAATATGCGAAAATGGAAGCTTAACACTATTTTGTAATCTAATGATATGGCTACGATCGTAAATTCGATGTTGGCTTCACGCCTATGCAAATAATGGATAAACTTTTCAAAGTACGGTGCGGAGTGTTATACAAATTCTTATCTATATGAACGTTGGCGGAAAAAGCTATTTTTAACTTCTTGCGTTTCGACGGGTCATTATTAAACGGCTCTTATCCTTTTAGAAAACTTTTAAATTACGGTCTACGGAGCAGTATTTGCTGCATTCAACTATTAATTACTTAGGTACTCTGTTTTCGCGCGTGTCATAAAATCCAATAAAAAATTTTGAATAAATTAAAATTTCCTTACACCTATAAAGATTTATAAACGGCTACAGAGTAGAAAATGGAATTGTTCACAACACATCGGTCAGTACTTAGGCAAATCGGATTGCGTTTAAAGTGGGGCAGATTTATAAAACTAAGAAAAGTGAAGTTTAATATCATCAGATTTGTAACTTACTCAAGTTCCATAGAAATTCGACGATTTGAAAATATTTGTGATTCCAAAATACATTGTAAGATAAAAATTATTTAAAAAATACATTAGAAATAGGTCTATTACAGTAGACGAGTATAGATCTAAAAGGTAACATCTACATTAATATTTATACATTAATCTATTACATTTAACTACTTATTTAATACGTGAATACACTTAAGTTCGCTTTATCTACATCTATTTCTATGTAAATATGTCATTATTATAGTTTCTCAATTGATATAATAATTGTTTGTTCTTTACTATGAATTACCAAACCGTATCGTCGATTTGAGTGAGAAAAGTTATGAGGAACAGTAAAAAAATTATACAAGTTTTTTTTAAGAAGACATGATAGTGTAGATATTAGAAGAAAGAGTTCTGATGCACATGGTCTTTCTATTAAGCATCCGAACAATTTGAACCATTTCATTTGATATTTGACCGCGATGCTTGAGCCTGATAAGCTAACGCTCGGAATTAGCGCGAGAAATTTCATTATCACATTTGGCAGAGCTGTTATTCACGTACGAAAACAAATTCGTTGTAGTGATTCCAGCGATTTTCCTCAGAATCTACTCCGGGCTTGAGTTCTGCGGCGCCGCCCGCGGTGCCGCTGCCACAGCTGGCCGTCAGCTTGAAGCCTTGCTCTTGTAAATTATCGAAAGCTTGCTCGATGAATGAGTGCTTTAAGAAGAATCGGGACGTGTACCTGTCTGCCAGTCCGTGGTCGGGATCTCTAGACTCGTTCAGCGTTTCTCCAAAGACATCGCGGCACAGAGTTACTTTTCCGCAAACTAGAATACGAGATAACTTGCGAAACTTCACATCGGCGAGGCCGTCACGGCCGAAAGCAAAGCTTCCACGGTATCCCACGGTAATGCACCCGCGCTCTCGATTTGGCGGTTTCGGATCAGCGTCTCGAACTGCATTTTCTAAGCCCACTAACCTATAATGCCTGGCTTCTCGCGCCAGACGTTTATGTTCACGAAAACATTCCGGTAGTACCAGACCGCCGTCACGAAGATAATCTAAGACGTAGCGGAAGAGAACGCCGTCGCGGTCGAAGAAAATGCGGCCGCGTGCGTCGCGCGGATGGTCGGGGTCGCGTAAAGCCGCGGCCGGCAATGAGTCCGGCTCGCGCAACAGCGTGTCGCGAGTAGTGGCATAGTGCACGCCGCCTACGTTCAGCTCGAGTACCTCAGGCGGCGCGTCCGCCATGGCTGGAGGCTGAGGGCGCAGTGCCGCGCGACTGCGCGCCCCTTCTGACCCACTTTGCACGTCCCTCTCCCTCGCCACCCGCGTCCTCTCCCATCAATAACACACGCCCGGGTTACTGACTTGGACGTAATCATTTCCTACCCCTTCAAGCCGAACTCTTCGTAAAAGCCTTCAAGGTGACGGCCATTGTCAGTTAACAGATGGTTTACCATCGCTCAAAACCTCTCATCTAGTGATCTACAAAGGTGGTGTGTATGAATATAGTGTAGTAAACAGAAAGTAATCGTCGTGATAAGTGCAAATTATCAATTTCTTTAGCATATTACGCCGAGTTTATCGAATTACATTCATTTTCTAATAATTTCATTGTCGTGCTCACGCAAACCTATTTATCTCAAAGGCTTCAAGGTCGAAAATTGTCAGTTAACACATGGTTCTTATTTCCCCGCCCTTTGCAAAGTTAATACGTACGGCACCGTTTATAACAGTGTAAGTAAATGAGAAAGTTTGCGATGGATCAACAATTATGAAGATAACTTGCTGAATAGAATTCTATGTGCTGTCCTAGATCTTAAAAAGTATTATAAACCTTTTTTAAACAAATATTCGACTTGAATAACTAAAACTTTAGAATTATTATGATTCATTTACATTATTTATTTGACGACACGTTTGGCTCAGTTTGTAGTAACCCTGCTTGCTGTGCCAGCAGTTGCGGGTTCGAGTTCCGCTGGGGGCATTCATTTGTGTGATGAGCACGAATGTTTGTAATTTAGTCATGGGTGTTTATATTTATAATATGTATGTATTTAAAATTATATATATGTAGTGTATCAACTATCTGGTATCCGTAACACAGGCCTCGTAGCTTACCATGGAACTAGATGGTGGTGTGTGTTAATGTCCCAACATATTTATCATTTTATCATAATGAATTCATCATAATTTGTAAGTCTTCATACGATAGCAATAAAAAGTCGGGAATGAAATGAAACAGATTTTCCGTGACAGTGAGACCAAAACAAATTCACTTCCTAGTATTCTTTTTCACTTTCAAACTAAACATTATCATTTACATAGCTAGTAATAGATACGTGAGATTCAATTTTATTTTACTTTAAGCTGTAGGTTTAATCTAATTTTGTTAAAGAAAACTATTTACAAGGGAGAACTTTCTTGTTTGTTGTTGTTGTAGCCGTCTAACTTAAAAAGGGTTTATAAAAATTCTTTTAAACTACAATCCCACGTCAAATCCAGAAAGCTGATCAAATGCGGTTTACGTAGAGTTTGTGTTAGTTTTATTTAACTATAGTCTGAATAAAAAATATCATAAAATTGTTATCACCTACATATATTTATATATTGTATATGTAGTTCATTAAAGTGATTTAACCCTAAATCAAGGCAAAATTAACGGAGTATATAACTAATTGAACATCGTCGTCCATCGTATTAGTATCATATATTTTTTAATTCAATAAAAAACAACAGAGCAGCGAAAGTAATTACACAAATTATATGACCCTCCCAGCTTATTGCCAATGGAAAAATATAACGAATGTCCATGGTAATTCAGAGTTTTACTTTGTACTATAAAGTTGGAAATCATGATTTAATGTTAGCTCTTACTGAAACACATTCGGTCGTATACAGAACATCAAATAGAATACTACAAGAGCCATTCGCTTACTTTTTATTGGTGCTTTGAGTTTTGCGGTCCCGAAGCATCGCTAGGGCTCCGTAATGGACTCCGGTGCGTCAGAATTTTTACATGTTCATTACATACGGAACGAGGGCCTTTTATTACGGCCTTGGGAAATAAAGTTACTTTTCAAATTTGTCTCAATAGGATAGAGAGTGGATGACGTAAAAACCATCGTATTTCATGCGAAATATGAAATAAAACTAAGTTTATATTAATATTCTATATTCAGAATACTGGGCGAGCATAACAAGTAAAAATAAATATCACGATGGGACTTTAAAGTCGTTACATTCTATTGCTAGATCGCTAACATAGGTTACAGGTAATAAATAATACGCGATAAATTGCAACTATTGAGATTAATCGTCACGTCTAATATCGAAATTGTTGAAAGTGTATTCAGAGATTTCCTTGTCGTTTTTAAAATCCGCTTTGTCGATTCTACTACTGGGACTGCCTGTATTCTTCAGCCAGTGAATCCTGAAAATATTTAGTTTGTGAAGATTGTTGACACATTTATATATATGTATATTTATATATTTTTATATATTATGTACATATATAAATAAAAATGCAATGGTTTTGTTTGGTCAGTACATCACTTGAGAACGGCTAGATTGATTTAGCTAATATATAATTCAGAAAATGCTCATAATAGTGCCCATAAGGCTTTAGGAAGAAATTGATTTTTATATGTAGGTAGATAATAGAACTTTTGTATGTCTGTCGGGTCAGTTATTTAGATAGCATAAGTAAAAGATAGTGTAAAAGATATCTATGAATAATATAGATCAGAAAAAAATTATACCAGAAAAAACCCATGACGTAAGTTTACGACACATTTACCATGTATAATAAATCAAAAACGTAAGTGAGGTATGGACTAAGTATAAAAACAAGAATTTCAAACCTTGCTCTGCCACAAGCATATATTCAGACGACCATATTTTTCAGAAATGCTCACTGTAAAAACCTTTTCGCGCTTCGTTTTGATAAAAAACCGTGGCACGTTTTAAAAAAGGGAAAATGTAATCAAACTGTCTTTTGTTGTTCATTTCACATATTATGAAAGGTACGATTTATTGTGAGATATTCTTATATTCTTCGTTGTTGTTCTTATAAAGAAAATTATTTGCAAATCCTTTATTTTAATGTATTGAATATAGTTTATATTATCTTTCACTGCGACTCGCCGCAGCTACACCATTTAACACGTTTTTTTTTATTTTATTTTTTTATTTTATTTATTTATTTATTTCAGGCAATATTTACATAGGGATCTTAAATATGTAAACAGCGGCCCATAGCATATATACCTTAAAACTAACATATATATTAATTATAAAAAACTTAAAAACTATTTAACACGTAGTGCAGACGTGTAAGTTTTGAATAATTTATTCTATGTAAAAAAATGTAATAACGATACTAAGACTAAAAGGTTTTTTCAATCTATATCATTTGGCTGGGAATTCGATTACTCCAAAAATATATAGATTATGAAAAAAGGCTGTGTATTCTATAGGAATCTCATAGATAAAGAATGACTTTCGCATTTAAAATGTAAATTAGATACTTATGTTTTAAAATAGAATACAAATATGAAGATAGACAGAGGTAGCTGAATATGAAGAGAGAGGAGGGGAGGGGTGGGGGGAGAGAGGAAGATGGAGAGAGACAGAGAGAGAACTAATGCTTAAAAATACAAAAGAAGATAGGATTATTTTAATGTTATTTTTTTTTAACTTCCCTTATTTCTTGAAGAAAGTAAACGATCTGTATGACAAAATCGAGAATAGTAGCATAAACAGATTGATTACACTATTTTTCACTATTTACTTTAGCGGGCTCCATCTATATTATTTTTTAGCCTGAGACAGTTAGGTACATTAAAAATTACAAATCAGAAAATATTTAACTTGAAAGTAACATTTCAAAAGGTCCTTTTCAATAACATTAAAAACAATAATCCCTGTATTTAGACACACTTGCATTCCTAAATAGCGAAATTAAAGTACGAATACTCTCAGAGCTCTTTTTAAACAGTCTTGAGCGTTAAGCGTAATGTCGGCTATTAAGGCGTTTTCATAATGAAACAGGGCGGGGGTGGCGAAGAAAATTCTTTTCCATTTAATTTATGTGAAAGACCGTAAGAATTGTGTCGGTGATATAAAATTTCGGCAGACGATTTGGTGTTTTTTTCTATCAATAACAATAATGAATAATGGATAAATGGAAGGCTAACAGATAAATCGGGGATCAATTCAACAAACACTACGTTTTTTTAAAGAAATAAAAACTATATTTTAATAATTGAAATATCCAATAACATTTACCTACTTAAAAAGTTTGAATTTTATCTCTACACATAATAATAATAATAAAATTGTAACTAAGCCGAATCTGTACATTAAATATTTTTTTGGAAAATCTAATTGAAATAGTCATTATTATCGATACAGAGGCCGAATCTATAGTTTTTAGAATTTTTGTCTGTCTCTCTGTTACCATCACAGAAAAACCACTGGAGAGATTTTGATGAAATTTGGTATGTTGATAGCTGGTTATCTGGGTCAACATATAGGATAGTCTTTTTACCGCGGGAAAATGTCTCATTTCTGAGAAAAATACAAAAACTGCAATGTAAGCGTATACTAATATGTAAAACCTAAGAATTTGATTTTTGGTTATCTGTTCAATGCTAGTTGGAAATAAATTGGTTTGAAAAAATAGCGTAGCACAATATCCAATATTATTTAGATACCTATATGTGTTTTATATGGCTAAATTATATTTATGTATGGCAATCGCTTTTTTATGAAGCGTAAATTGAATCCCAAGATGTATTTTTAAATTTACTTCACCAATCAATAGTATGAGGTGCGACTAAAGGTGGAAATTGTTCGAAAAATATTTTGTATTAAGAATCTCTATGAGACAAACTTCCCTAACAATTTTCGCTACGGTCAATTTCACTAAGAATGGTCGCCGTGTGCTGTCTCTCCGCATGAGCGTCCTATCTTGGACAAACAAATAGGTCTGCAGCTGTATATAAAAATTAAAGATTTCATTTTTCATTTCCGGTAAGAAATGAAGCGATAAAGAAGGTTTTACTTCGGATCATCTATTACTAAACACATTTTTCCCATTAACCCAGTTATTCTTGAGCGTTCCGCGATTAAAAAGACGGAGAAAAAATCTAAACATAATTAAATTATAACAGAGTAATTCTTTGCATAACTTTCCAAAAATTTGTACTTAGCGATTGTTTGAGAATTACCTCTGGATAAGTTTAGAAAGGTTCGCCGCCCGCAGCACGGATTTTGTTTTATCAGTGTATTTGACTTGAATTAAAAACAGCTTTTAATTTGAATTTGTCGAGTAGATCTCAAGATACTTGAGCTATATTTTGTAGGCGCTCCCACATAAATTAAGACCCTAACTTTGTATAGGAGCACTATCCTAACACGAACTGGAAAGTATCGACAAAATGAAATATACGTATACCTACGTATTTGATATCTTTTTTTTTGGATAACGTTTTAGCAACGATAACATAGCCTGTACCTATTTTTATAGGGTATGTCCCGTGTTTGTATATAATGTATTTAGCCCTTTTTTTAATGTCCCACTGCTGGGCACGGGCCTCCCTTCAGTACGAGGGGGATCAGGCCATAGTCCACCATGCTGGCCAAGTGCAGGTTGGCGGACTTCACGTGTCTTTTGAAAATTTGCTAGGTTCTCTCAGGCATGCAGGTTTCCTCACGATGTTTTCCTTCACCGTTAAGACAAATGGTAATCATGTTGGAAATGATTCGCACATGAAAATATCAAAGATCCGGGATTTGAACCCGCTTCTCTAGGTTTCCCAAGCGAGCGAGTTACCACTGGGCTACCACTGTCTTTCTTGTTTGTATATAGTAATTTATAAATTCTCCCGTTTTATTTCTATTTTTATTGACTGTAAATAGCTGTTACGTTACGCTCGTGAAAATTTTGTATGAATAAATTTTATCATTATGATATTCGATAAAAAATCTACAAAGCTTTGACATTGGCTAAAAGCAACTTAATCGAATAAAGTAGTAAGCGGATCATCTTGGAATTCCAAATTGGCAAAGGAACGACATCTTGTCACAAAGCTTTGTAAAACCCTAAAACCCATGTAACAAAACATATTTTCCTGTGGAATGTTGCCAGCAAACGATACAAATATATGGGCTGGCGCTTAAATCTTATTCGTACTAAACATTTGGACGTGACTGGGATAGACATTTTCTTAGCTGATAACAACAACTTGCATGTTAAAGAGGACGATATCTTTGCACCGTTTGTAAATTAAAAACGAAATACAATACTTAATAACGATAATAATGACACATAATTTATAGTAAATATATCTTTGATGCGCTTGCGATATTGAAAAAGCTAATCTATACTAATATTACTTATAAAGAGGTAAAGTTTGTGAGTTTCTGAATTTGTAGGGGGTAATCTCTGGATCTACTGAACCGATTTAGATGAAATTTGGTAAGATAGTTTGAGACCCTAGAAAGGACATAGGATACTTTTTATTCCGGAAATCAACCCTTAAGAGCGTGAAAATGGGGATGAAAGTTTGTATGGGGAATTAAGCTGGGGAAGAACCCGAGCGAAGCGAGGATGAGTCACTAGTTTTAATAAAAAAGGAAATATAAAATAAATAAAATAAAATAAATAGCTATACTTTATGTACCTACCTACAGCTTTTAAAAAATTGTATGAAAACTGAAATTAAGTGAATACAAAAGTTTGATATAAAATCTATATACATATATCATATTAATATGTACTATGTAGGATTTATATATAGCACCTTGGTAGATGAAATTTGTTGATATTGCCACAAACAGTTTTTCAATGACATCTTTATTGTGGTAAAGTTAATTGGATACACGAAACGCTCGGCAATATCGCAGGTAAATCGCTGATATGGAACAATTCCATAAGTAGTATTATATTATAGAAGATAAAAATTAAAAATAGCACAGAAAAATATTATAAGCTTTCACAGCTTTGAAGTTGAATGGAAAAGCATGAAAAAATTCTGCTGAATGCTGCATTCAAACATTTAGTGATTAAAAGAGATATATAATAGTAGGTGGTAGGTAGATACGATGTACAATACCGTCAATACGCCTATGTTATATGTATTCTTTATAATATTCTAAAAAATATTTTCCTACAAATCTAGATTGCAATTGAGTGTTAATTTGTAAAAAAATAGTTGGGACTCGCAGATGTTAGTAACCCTGCCCTTAGGGATATAAAAAATATTATAATCTCCACAACAGCATTAGCTATTGGATTCAGATCAGCAGCTGATTTAGGTTCGATGGCGCCCTAGGTCCAAGTCGATATGGCACCCTTTTTCTTTCGTAACAGTATAATATATATATAGATTAATTATTTTAACAAAGAATTCTACCCTTGGTACTATGTTTAGATTGTAAGAGCGCAAGAAAATAAACTTTAAAATTTGGTGTTACAGTTTACAGAAATACCCAATCGATTTTTAATTTGTTGTCTTAAAAATTTTGGATCCCCTCAAAATTTGCCGCCCTACGCACCTCACAGGCCTATGCCTAAATCTGCTACTGGTTCAGATCTTTTGATTTTATATCTTGACTCTAATGCAAAATAAATCTTTTAAGCTGGATAGTTCATAATAAAAACTCAGAAATGTTTTTGTTTCAGGTAATCTAGTATAAAATAGTAAAAATATGAATAATATAAATGCAAAATTCACCCTGTCTGGCTAATTTTCAGTGTTGAACTAATTTTATAAAAATTTAATTAAAGATTTTATTAAGTGGAATAGGATTTGGTGAGCATAAAGCCTGGTAAATAGTGTCAAATTTAAAGACACTGCTCATGATTTATAAAAAAAAATATTTGAAATAATTTTTTTTTATTAATTATTAAGAGGGTTGGTAAAGTCCAATAAACATAACAAAAAAAACTTGCAAAAAAAAGGGTAAATTTGCGAACTGTAAAATTTATTTTAACTTTTCAACTTATAAAAAAGTAGTAAAATAAGAGAATTTTGCTCAACAGAAATTTAAAAAATTAGTAAAATTAAATAGAACAAGAAAAATATGTCTGTAATGCACTTCTGTTAAATATAAAAAATAACTTACATTTCATGAACCTTATCAGACAAACCCTGCAATTGTCCCTCGACAGTTCCGCGGGATGTATTTCTACACCAACCCTTAAGATCAAGTTTATCTGCTTGCTTTTTAGTATACTACAATACATTCAATAATATTAAAACCTTTTGTTCTATTTTAATATACTGACAAGTTAAATATTATTAGTTTTCTTTATAATAGTTAATCTTTATAAAGTAAATCAAATTTATAGTTTTTTATTTTGTTTAGCTAATTTTTTAAAACAACCTTCAAATTTTAATTGATGAAATTAAAATGTTTCTTTTTCTTTAGAAACCACACTATGACACTAATATTTTAAATGATGAAAGTTAGTAAGTAAATGAGTTGGTTACTACTGGCTGTTCAACAGATTAGAGTGAAACTTGGAATGGAAAAATACCTTCCGGAAGAATACTCCTTGCACTCGACCAAAAACTTCAAAATCTACGCTTCGCAGTGCCATATTTGCCGCAACTGTACAATAATTTACTTTTAATAATCCAGTTATCGTGGTTAAAAATAACAAACGAAACATTTAATTATTTTTTTAAATCGATCAAAATAAACACAATGCGAATCTCATAATAATTTACTTTAGTCCATTGTAAGCATGGAAATGATTGCTACTTTTAAATCATTATCACGTGATGAAATTACAACAATTTTTCACGTGATTTCACCTGCTACTTTTCACGCATAGATTTTTGATTTCGACGGTCTGGTGTCACACTTTATATTATTTGCTATTAAAATGAAGTATGAAATGTCACCAATGGCGCTACTGATGTGATATGGAGCAGAGATATAGATCTGACGTAGTTGCATACGTACATGGTGCTTTGAATGAACGTATTTTCAAACAATGAACTTTCCCTCATACTTCTACAGGCTTGGGACTGACAATGTAAAATTAAATGAATTTTAAATATATCAGAGTAATCACACGGTAAAATTGTATTAAGCTAAGTTCCATAATTACATTGGCGTATTTAAAAGTTCATTGTTTTTATGTACATTTTATACACTTTTTTTTTGTTTTTCTTAATTTTTTTAATTTGTTTATAATCATTTTTTTTGCTTTTTGATTTTTTGATGATTGATTTTTTAATGAGATATCTATATACAATAGTCTTCATTGCTTTTTAAAAATACAAGTTCCGCTGTTCGTTTTCTGCTTAATCGTACTCTTTTTTGGGTTGCAAAATTTCCCGCTTTTGAAAATACTCTCTCACACTCCACTGATGTCACCACGATGTGACAGTGCTCATGAAATATTTCCGCCAAATTGGGGTACATATAGGAGTGAGATTTCCACCAAACTAATGGCGAAGAATCGCGCGGAAGCACTGGTTCATTAATAAACATTTCTAGCTCGTTCTCAGCGTTGGTGGTTATGTCTGTACGTATTACACATAATCATTCAGTAAAAATTATAAGTATTTGTTGGATAAAAAACTAAAAATGTGCTCTAAATTTAATTGTTGTTTCTAATTTAAAATTATTTCTAAACAATATTTCTAAGAATCCGAAATCATGCAACTCGAAATAAATAAACTCCCCAATTTACTGATCAACGGTATTTACTGAAAATTGTATTTTGTTGAATAAAAAATCAATAAAAACATCAGTACGAAAATGTATACGGAAAATGCGAGTAACGAAATGCATTCGTGAGTAACGTTTCGGTACTCGGTACTAGATGGCGTACCCGTTACTCAGTAACGAATACATACGGTTTGCTACAGCTCTAGATTTCACCAAGTTGTGATTTGTAGCAGCCACTATGAATTTAAGTAGCAGGTGTGACGTATGATTACGCATTTCACGTGATTTTTCACTTGCTACTCGTGAAATGTTCCATCCCTAGTCCATTGACATTTAAAATTTTTGCACCGAGGTATGTACGGCGCCAGCTATTCGTATTATTTTTCATATTGATAGCTTTTTTATATGAAAGTGCTTATTTTCTTTTATTAATAACTATAAAATAAAATTTGTACTTGCTACGTCAAAATTCAAAATAGATTTTAAGTTTTCTAATGTTAGAGTTTATACACAAATAAATAAAGAGCTCTTGTACTGTGAAAGAAAAACTACCTCCGTAAATGCTTAATGCAAATATTTGACAAATTCGCCAGAAGAGTTGACAAATGTCAATTGTCAACTACTTGACATGTTGTCTGTGTAACGATACCTTGGTGTACAGTGTATATTTTACAATTATTTAATCTCCCTTCAATAGAATTAAGAATTGTTCTTCATAAATCGTTTGTGATTACCTAAGAGACTAAAATGGCACTATTTTGCTGCAGCAGGTAAGTTGTCAATTGAATATTTTATTATTATGTAATAAGGTTGTTATTGCATTTTGTAATAATCATTTGATTACAGGTTAGCCAGCAATTCTATGTTGGGAAACTTGGCAAAATTTCGAACTGCTATAGGCACCGCAACGTATGCCCAAGCCGCATCTATTCCCAAAATTACATTCAAAAAGTTTGAACCGCCTGTAGAGGAACATCATGATATCCGAAATGCTAAACTGAATAGACCCTTGTCACCTCATTTAACGATCTACAAATTCCAGCTGACCAGTGTTTTATCAATTACACATAGAACTGCAGGTTTGTTTTTTATTTAGTACTATACTGTAGCTTTGTAAGGATTGTTATGGTTTTTAATGTTAAGTTCATTTTTAATTTTATATATAGTTAATATATTTAAAAAAATTAAGTTGTAATGTTGATCCTTTCGACATTAAGACATTTCATTCCAATCAATATTTTTTGTGCCAGTGACCCCAATTAGTAAATATATAATTGAATTTTAATCGTAGAAGCAATTTAGTTGTAATTGCTTATAAGTATTCCTTATCTTTTATTCCCTATACTTTTCCTAAAAAGAAAAAAAAATTAACTCAATCATAGTTTTAAATGTTTACTATTAAAAATTTGTTACAGGTATAATTCTTTCTGGTTATGCTTCAGCCCTCGGGTTGGGAGCTTTAGTGCTGCCGAATGATATTTCTCATTATATTACAATGATCGAAGGCTTGAATCTGTCTCCTGCAACTATATTTTTAGCCAAAGTAGCCCTTGCTTCCCCATTTGGCTACCATTTTGCTAATGGAATTAGACATTTGTACTGGGATACAGCTAAAGGTTTGACAATTAAGGAAGTGTATACTACAGGATATGCTATGTTGGCAGGAACTATTGCGATCACTTTACTCCTTGCCGCATTATAATTCTTTGTTAGATGAAATTACAAAAGTTGGTTATTATGAATGTTCGTCTTCTCAATGGTATGAATGTGTACTTAGATTGGCCTTTTATTATATGAAATTTGTTTTAATTTAGTTATTAAATTTATTTTAAATTTTTTATGATCGTTTATAATAACCATCTTATATAATATTGTAACTGTAAATTCTGGTTTTATTTATTTGTTCTCAATAAGCAATGTAATAAATTTTAATGATTTCATTTATTTGTTTTATTTCAACATGGTATACAGTCTTCAAAATTTATATAAGAAAAACAAATTTAGGCAACTCCACATGTGTTGATAACATCATGAATTGTTTTGAATTTCTCAAAATCTAATTTTTCAGTAGTGGCTAATCCGGTCGCAGCATTCTGGAAAATAAGATAGTACCAGATATAATATAAATCTTTTTTTTTTTTAATAATATTCTTAGGTTTCAAATAATCTATTCTCTTCAGACATTAGTGAATGCAAAAAAATGTATGATATATTAATTGTACATAATTTTGATATTTGACCAAATTATGAATATTTATAATCAATTCTTAATCTCTTTAGCTTGGAAAGTAGCCAAGTTATGGCCTTAGCCAAGGTAAAAAATACAACTTACATTGAAAATAACATTGTTATTTTTAAGGAATTCACCATAAATATTAAATAAATCATTTCTATCGTCAAGTAATTGTGCCAAGCTCAACGGTGTGTGAGCTATGGAAACATCAGAAAGGAAGTCCTTGGCAGAAAGCCAAGTCCTAGATGGTGCCAAGGCGATGTTACATGAAGCGAACTTGTCCAAACTTTGCCGACCACCGTTTTCTTGATTCAAGCATAGTAATTCATATTTTGATGAATCAAAGTTTACTAAATCGGCACCTTTAAAAACAAAAATTGTGTTATGTATGCATTTTTGACAAAATAAAAAGAATTAAAGAATGTTAGGTATTTTGTTGTATTTATGTTTTTTTTCTAATTTTACAATTAAACTTACTCGACACAAACGCCACATCTCCTCGATCTTCCTCTAGACATTTCCATGGAGCATTATTTCCTGAACATTGTTTCTTCAATTTAGATACATCTAAACCTGTAAAGGTGTAAGAATGGCTAAAATTTGTTCCTAGTAATCTCAAACTTGGCTAAATTCAGTTAGCTAATTGAGTATCAAGTAGACTTAAACAAGCATTTATTGTCGAAAATGGAAATATTATTATACTAATTAGTAATTACATAATTAATACATAGTTTGCTGCTTTAACTAAATTAATCTATACTAATAGTAATATATTATAAAGAGATAAAGTTTGTGAGTTTGTGAATTATGAGGTTGTAAGTTTGTGAGTTTGTGACGTTTTAGGGGGTAATCTCTAGATCTACTGAACCGATTTAGATGAAATTTGGTAAGAAGATAGTTTGAGACCCCGGGAAGGATATAGGATACTTTTTATCCTGGAAATCATCCCTTGAGGGGGTGAAAATGGACATGAAAGTTTGTATTGCGAATCAAGCTAGGGATGAAGCGAGGGCGTGTTGCTAGTCATACCTACATAATTTATAAAGATTTAGACAAGTCATTTTTGTTTGCTAATAAATAAATATACCTATTTGTTTATTATAGTATTCTGTATACAAAAAAATGCCATGAGTAAATTACAATCCGTTCGAAATTTGCGTCTGTACTAATTAGCAGGCTATTTAGACAAAGGGCAAACTTTAACTGTTTCCAATTTGAACAAAGTAAAAACCGCTTTACTCTGACGCTTTGGTGACGAAAGACTACGTTTGCTTTAATTCACTCGTACATTATAATAAAATTGTAACGAAGCCGAATCTGTACATTAAATATTTTTTGGAAAATCTGATTGAAATAGACATTATTATTGATACAGAGGCCGAATGACGGATCTATAGTTTTTAGAATTTTTGTCTGCTGTGTGTGACCGCATCGCAAAAAAACCATTGGAGGGATTTTGATGAAATTTGGTTTAATGATAGTTGGTTATCCGGGTCAACATATACTTACGTAGGATACTTTTTACTGCGGGAAAATAAGTATCTCATCTCTAAGAAATCTATACTAAGGACGAACCCGAGCGGAGCGAGTTTGAGTCACTAGTCTATACTCATATTATAAAGAGGTAAAGTTTCTTAGATTGTGAGTTTGTAACGTTGTAAGGGGGTAATCTCTGGATCTATTGAACCGATTTAGATAAAATTTGATAAAAAGATAATTTGAGACCCTGGAAAGAACACAGGATACTTTTTATCCCATAATGGGGTGAAAATGGGGAATCAACCTAGGGACGAACGAGGGGGTGAGTCGCTAGTATTATAGGTATATATTCCTATATGAAAATATAATTTTACTATAGAAATATTGTCATTTTTATAGTGTTGTTGTTTAGTAGTTATTAGTTATTTTTGTACTGTTAATTCATTTTTATAAATATTATTTAAACGTACCATTAGGATTATTCTCGGGTTTGTCCACGCCTGGAATGCAAGAACCACCGAAGAAATCGCCTAAGTTTTTGATGCATTGACCTGAACTTATTTTATTTTTGTTTATGAGATAGTACATCGGCGCTACTAAACCGCTGTAGGTTCCAAAAGAATTATGACACGATCTAAAAAAAATTGTTAGTAAATACACTTAAAGAACTAAAAGAGTAAAAAAGCGCCAAGTTTAGTAGAAAGTAGCTATTTCGTGCTGCCGATGTAATTGTCAAAGGTGTGAAATCTAAACGGTAGTCAAGTACCTTAAGAGTTGTTCATAAAATACGTTCGCATTTATGAGGAGGAGAGGGTGTCGCTTACTGTGACATGATGTGATAAGGGGGACTGGGGGGGACTAAGGAAACGCGACATTTGGGCGCACCGAGGCAATTATGAAATAATTGCGTTCGTTTGATACCTTGCTGTATTGTTATTACTAAAATCCCTTCCTGAATTGTTAATACTAAAACTTTAATTATGAAATTAATATGTAGGATATTTAAGGATTTATTCTATAAATCGTACACTTTAGAAATACGAATACTTGTAGTTTCCTCGATAGAAAAAAAATCCAAAATGATCTCTAAAAAACAAAAGAAACCCTTGTGGCGCGGCTACATTAGCGCGCGAATATTCGTGTCGCGTTGGCGCGATAAAAACATCGTGTACGGGTATACGCGATGTTGTTGTCTACATATATGCAGTCAATGAGTTCGCCTGTTTCACGGCCGATATAGGCGATCATTCTTGCAAAGTAAAATGCAAATTGTTTTGTATGTCAGTAAATTATAATTATTCTTTATTATTGTGCGAATACCATTTAGATTTAGATGTGAGCTTATTTTTAATTCTAACCCACGCATCATATACTAAATTTTTTCTTTTTGTGGATGGGGTTACGAGGATAAAAAAATAAATTGAATAAACTGCAATACTTTTTCATTGCTCCAATCGATACTGCAGTTGCGTCGTCACTTTCCCGCCAAAATATCACACGTCCGTTCCGCTCAAAGTCTGGACAGTGGACTGCAACTCAATTGGACGCAACTCGCAAGCGAATATTGTAGCGCTAAAACCCTTTGATGTGCGCCAGTTTACCGACAGTGCCGCGATAAACATTTGTCATCGCCCGGCAACTACGCGATGAGCCGAACTACTCGGCCACACTTGTCGCGATAACACGAATATTCGCCGTATCCCGCTTATGTAGTCGCGCCATTAGTGTGGCGTAAATATTTCAAGGAAGTTCATCAGTATTTTTAATAATAACAAAACTATACGTTTTCTATATCGTATACATTTTACATTTTCAAAATGTGTATTTCTTTTAATAATACGAAGGAAATACGTAAATTCGCACGTGTTCCCTCCATCCTAGCCATACCCCCCCTTGCTCACTTTCGTCGTACCAAATAAAAAGCTCGGTGCCCTCTTAAGCTCATCAAATAATTTTGCTAAAAAGGTACAATTTTGCTTGATATATTTTATAAACGGCCCCTTAGCATATCCTTGAATTATTTTATTGGAATACATTGAAATTGCGCACAATGTGGCAGTGGTAGCCCAGTGGTAACGCGTTGGGAAACCGAGTGATGCGGGTTCAAATCCCGGTTCTGGTATCTCTGATATTTTCATGTGCAAATCATTTCCAACATGATTACCACTTGTCTTACGGTGAAGGAAAACATCGTGAGGAAACCTGCATGTCTGAGGGAACCTAGCAAGTTTTCGAAAGGCATGTGAAGTCCGCCAACCCGTACTTGGTCAACGTGATGGACTATGGCCTGATCCACATCGTGTTGGAAGGTCCACACCCAACAGTGGGACGTAAAAAAGGGTTGAATACATACATACATTTAAATTATAAATTGACAAATATTAGGTTTACCATTTTACACTTTACTTGTTATAATGTTTAGTGGTAGTGTTATGTGGTAGTATGATAATAGCTCTAAACAAACTAATGTTTGTTTAGAGCTATTATCATGCTACCTAATATTTAAAAATAAAAATGTTAATAAGTGTGTTTGCCACTTCTTAACACTGTAATGACTCGATGATTTTGAGTAGAATTTGAAATTCTTGTATCTAAAATAGCTTATGTCTGGTAATAGAGTAATACTTACAATTTGCCTTTCAAATCGTCAATATTATTAAAGGGTGAGTTCTTTTTGATGACAGCCACTGCGTAGTTAGGGGTTTTGTCCTTCCCATACACTTCATGGAACACTGGGTGCAGATTATATTTCTTAGAGGCAGCTGCGACTCTCATATCGTCTACCGCTGCTAAATCCGAACCATTGTCTTGGACCTGAGTTATTTGAATTAAATTAAATACCGATGCAGCTCGATATATTATTTATGTATAGGTTAGTATGTACATACATAAGTCTATACTAAGGCTATAAAAAAGTGTAAAAGATCAGCGTGATTACAGAGGACGTTAGAAGCAAGCGAGTGATATAATCTAATAGATAAATATCTCGTGTCAAGGTATTTGTGGTCACACTCCTCCGAAACGGCTTAACCGGTTTTTAATATTAATTTTATTTGGTAGGTATGAAAATAGGTCACAAAGTATTTTTCACCCTCCGACCCCCCATTTTTTAATCGCGATTTTAATATTTTTGAATAACCAATATTATTTATATAAATCAATAGCGACGAAACCGAGCGAAGAGAGGGTGAGCCGCTTTATAACAATATAAAGCCAAAGAGTTTTTATTGTGGATTGAAGGCGGGCGTAGCCGCGGGTTCTGTTAGTACCTACTTTTATATTAGGTATTATTTGTTAAATAATGTTATTTTAATAAGTGGAAAATATAAAATGTTAAAGAAATATCGAATATTATTATGATTTCAGTGCCCGAAATGCACGTATAACAACGTATGCAAAGACCGTACATAAAATAGTCGTCCGTCATTACTTTGCTTAGGTATGTCCAGACATTCACAAAACCTTCAATAACTTTTTATAAGTCCCCATGTAATTGTTATCACACGATAGCTCTTTGGGATGTCGGGATTAAAAGTAGCCTATGTAAATTTTCGGCTAACTTTTGTTATATTTCTTTGGTTGCATTGGTCTAATGTTAAGTGAAATAGAACGTTTTCCATACAGCATTGAAGCGCATTATGCGGCATAATGCTCAATTTCGAATTTTTCACTACAGCAACGCTCCGCACAAACGAGCACTTTGAAAAGTACTGCTTTAGCGTGACCACCAACTTAGTAGCAGTAAATATAAGAAGTGTTTTTTCACCAAAGTGCAGCATTATGCTCTGTAAGGAAGCATTCATTAATTACTCCTCCCTCCTCCCCCTAAAAACCTCATGTAATTAATGGATGACCCCTAATTGGAAAACAGGGATAATGAGACACTGTCGCACTTATAATATTGAAAAGAACACAGAAAAGAACTTTTTATATTCCAAATCAATTTCAAACAGTAGGTAAATATATGTAGGTATAAATAATTGTAATCGAAATAAGGATATGAGATGAATCGTTCCAGACGATTCTAATCGACAATTTACTGGAATCAAATCAAAATCAAAGGTTAATGGTGGTAAATGTCAACCGATTTACCGATTTGGAATTTAGAATCAACTCAAATTGTGCTGTGAATATCGTGTTCGTTCAAATGTTTATTCACATTAATTTCATATTTTACGATTAAATATTTGTCTATTCTACAATCCTACTAATATTATAAATGCTGTCTCATAATATAAATGATGTCGGATGTACGGATGTTTGTTACTCTTTCACGCAAAAACTACTAAATGGATTTTAATGAAACTTTACAATAATATAGCTCATATATCAGAATAACACATATGTTACTTTTACCCCGGAAAAATGTACGGTTTTCGTGGGATAGAGTTGTTCTATAAAACAGACAAAGAGATAATCACGTAATTAAGGGGGTACCTAATATAATCAAGAAATTATTTTTAATCTGCACTTTGCTTATGTTTCTTATTTAATCTGTAACTATAACTGTCATTATAACTAATTAAATACTTTTTTATGATGATCGTAGTAATAGCATGATTTAATTTCGTATAGTGCCGTTTTATTAAAGAGTATAGATTCTAATTTGCTCAACTGACACGCTTTTAAGCCATTAACAAAAAAATTGAATTGAATTGAATAGATTCTAATTACGACATCCCTACATAAAAGTATAATTGGTTGTTGCCTGTTTCATCGTTGAATCGTTGGAGAATGGCTGGAAGGACTTAAATGAAACCTTTTTACTTTTTTTTTACATACAAAGCAGGGCTCATGTTTAGTAAGTAGGTACCATAGTTGTAGTTTAGGCGTATTCATGGATAGTAACTAGCTAAATTTAGTTAATATTTACAATTTAATATGAATCTAAAACTAAGACCTGAACGTTAAGTAAAAGTTTAAATATAACAATAATTAATTAGGTATATATTCAAGTTGAATTTTGTTGTGTATTATTTTAAACGTGAAATTTCTTTTTAATGAATAATGTTAATAATATTTATGAAGATTTGTTATTAATGATATATTATCGCCTATCATTTTACATAACCCCTAAAACATATACATATACAGGATATTTAGTACTTAGTATAGTATATATATATATATCTATGACATTAAAACATTTCTTACTTTTTAATGTAGTTTGTAGGGGCATTTATCTAATATATAAATAAATGGAAACCGTGACTGACTGACTGACAGTTCTATCAACGCATAGCTTAAATCGCTGAACGGATTGTGTTGAAAGTTGAAAGTTGAAAAATTTTTGAAAATTCAACCCCTAGAGGGGTGAAGTGGGAGTTCAAATTCAAATTGAGTTTATGTTTGTTCGGGCTAACCTCAGAAACTAATAAGTATAGGGATTTTCACACGGTCTTCACTAACAGAAAGAGGTATAATCTAGAAATTATAGGTCATAATTTATAAACATTTTGCAAAAATAATCCAACGGTATTATGAAGTGAATCAAGTCAGAAAAAATCTATTTCACAACTAAAAATTTAATCTAAGCCAACATAAATATTCTTTATTTAAACTACAATAAATAAGTTAATAACTTACACTCTTCAAGCAAGCTTCCTCATTAGCCTCTTGCACGCAGTCGAGCTTCGGGCGAATGTCGCGGCTGAACGCGAACACCGACATGGCGCGGCACTTGGCGAGCGCCACGTTGGATGTTACACACATTCTAATGTTAAAATAATATTATATTTATTTATTTTGGTACAAATTTTTTTATTTACAAAAAAGAAAATTACAAATATACTTAATTATATATACAAAACATATGTACACTTAGTTATTACTGTACAAGTCATATCCGCGTGGAATAGTGGCAAGAATGCTAGCCGCATTCCCCTGCTGAATGGCAATGCCGATTCTTTGGGCGAAAAATGCGCCAGCCCTCCTGTCACCAGTAGAGGTGATAAGACGGGGTGTTATGTCTTTTAAGAAGAGCTTAGCTCCATGGTACAAATTACATAAAACTATTATCTACACAAAGGAGTGAAGACATTTTTAAAATAAAAATAAAGTTTCTTACGACTGTTGATGAACAATACAACTACATATTATGTATATCAGTTTTACCTGCATGCATACACAAAATGCTTTAATAATAGTGTTATAGAACCAAGGTTTTATTATAAATATTTAAATAAAATATTTGGGGGGACGTTTGGAACCATTTACGGGGTAGGTTTATAATACATAAAAATGGGAAATTCGCAATTAATGTAATACTATCACGAATAAAATGCTATTAAAGAAAATACTAAAGTCTATTATAATAATCTTTAAATCTAATCTTACCTCACAACAGGTTCTGGTGGTCCATGTCCTCTTTCAATAACTTCGGTATAGTTAGCTTTCTGCAGATAATCAAACGGCTTGATGGGAATGTTTTCGGCCACATGGTGTATGATATTGGAAAGCCCTAGAACTTTCGAGAACCACTCGGGTTCTTCTTTGATACTTGCGCCTTAAAAATTTAACGAACGTACACTAATCGGACCTCTTTATATAATATTTTTTAGATAGAGTAATGAATAAAATTACAATATAAGTGGATTAAAATTTTAGCTCAAATTTTTTTTTGTGAATTCAAATGTTATTTTATTTGAAATTTGTTGCCGATAGAAACGAACGATATCCATTTTTGCATTTATTGATCGGATACTTACAATATTAGGATTAGTCAAATTTAAAAAAATGCTTTAGTAATCTATATGTCAAAATAAAATTGAAATCCGGCTCGAAATTTAAAAAATATAGAAAAAAATTAAATGCTAGAAAAAAAACTTGTTCGGGTTTAGAAAATGGGAGTTTTGGTTTTTATGCTAATCTCATAAGCAAAATTTTCAAAACATACAACCTAGTACTTACCTAATTCTTTTCAAAATACTATATTACTTTAAATTATTTACGTTATTTAAATAAGTATCTATAATCTAATAGTACTAAATTAAATTGATATCCAACAAAGAATCTTCATTTTGTCACGTACACACGTAAAAATATTAAGCTACCAAATATCCAATAACAACTATTTATAGTTGAAAACTTACCAGCATCTGCTAATTGCTTGATCTTCTCTCGCAAAGGAGACAATTTTGCCAATACATCGTTATGACCCAACAAACCCTGCCAAGGTCTCGCGGCCCACGTGCAAGCCGTCTCCCTAACCGATACTTTTGACCCATCAACACATAGATATGCAAACTCATCAGGGTTCTCTGAAGATTGGCTAGCTGGGATCGTTCCTACAGGAAGCTAAAATGGAATAACGTTGTAGGGTCGAATTGAAAAGTATGAAAAGTATATATAAAACCATACAATTATTTAAGTAAATGAATCTATAGCATAAAGAATATTAATAACACAACAATGAATCAACAAAACATAAGCTTGATTAATTTTCGCCACACTAATGGATGAAACATATCGCAATAATTACATATATAGGAACACACCCCAAAGAATTTTCGCACGTAGATGACTTTGGTAAAGGCAACCTCTCCTCCATTATGGGCTAAACATCTTAAGGCACCGTCGTAACCACTGAAGTTATCAGGATAATCACATTTTTCGGGATGTTCGCACAAAGCACATAATTGGCTGTACTGACCCTCTGTAATTAAAGACTTCTGTAAGATGGCTTTACAGAGCTTTTGCTCTATGTAAGTAAATTATTTAAAAACGTTTTGATATTCGCGATCACGAACATGAGTGCGAATGAGAAGAGATACAGAGCTTACAAACGTACTTATTACGACCTATTTATTATATTATTTAATTCATATTATTATAAGACTAATTAAGATAAAATATTTTCGTATAAAATATGAAATATTTTGTAAAAGAAAGTACTCTATATTTTATTTTATTTTTCATTTTTTGTTTACCTACGAATATATCAAACAAAACTACTGGTTACGTTATATCCTCCGGCAACATAACATTTGTGTTGAAAAAACAAATGGCTCCCGAGGCGACCTAAAATCTGTATCTTTGAAATGGGTCCCATTTATTAAGATGAAAAATTACTGCTATATTTGCTCTGCGATTTACCTTTTCTGTTAACTTTTATTGCCAGAGTAAAATAATAATGCTAATAAATATTCCAATAAAAAATATGCCCACATTGTCAAATATGAAGTACCTAATATTTATCATTAAGCTATTTTATTTCGTATCACATACTCGTAGAAGCGCTCAATGCACCAAAAAAAATATTAATGCTAGTTTAGAAGCCTATTTATTGTAGTATTTGAGGGACTTAAAAATGTAGAGTTGCGTAAAGCGCTTAACAGATTTGTTTAACTTGAGTAACGTTCAAGTATCTATACTTATTCAGCCGCGGGCAATGCTAGTTATATATAAGAATCAGCTTTTATACTATAACGTAAGTAGAATTATGATTTCATGAAAAAGGTGTCTGGCAAGGGTTTGCCACGATGTTAAGTGTCTGGCATTGAATTACGTGATTTTTAATAATATTCTGAAGGTAATACCAAAAAATCACACTATTATTTTACGAATTTAGATCGGTATTTTACACACCTTTAGTACCGTGTACCTGCCAAAGCCACCATAGCCTGAACTTCATAATGGTCCATATCGTTCTTATCTGTGTTGGGAGCATGCGCTGACAAACTTTCAGCTTATATAAAATGACGAAGTTCTGGCGTTCACAGGTTCTTAGGCCATAATATAAGTGTACTCTATTTTTATTTCGATAAACATGTGTTTACTGTCAGAATTCTAACTGAAATTGAAGTCTAAAAAAGTGGACGTTGAGTTGCTATATCGACATGCGCTATCTATGCGGTTTGAAATAAAGCAATTAATTAAAATGCACATAATATGTCATTAATAGAATAGTATCTATATGTATAGTTGTTAAGTTTCTCTGTATTCATTTATAAATACTTAGAAACTTACGTGTATGTATGTATGAATATAAGTATCGGTTAATATCTTAAGAAATATATATATATATATATATTTATATATATATATATATTTCATATATATTTATATATATTATTATATATACATATTAACGTTATTACTAGATATCTCTTACCATACTGTAATAAAGGCTCTTGTTTGTAACTCTCAAAACAAGGCTTGTGTGGCACTAGATCTTAAATTTTAGTTCTATTTATATGAAGTTTTAGTGTTTATGATGCAATAACAGAATACTTTAAAGTCTGGAAGTCCAGGATATTACTTGCGTAGTCACGCTTTTGGCAAAATTTACTTAAGAGCCCTTTCGGCGGTTTAATATCCGTCTAAAGTTCGGATATTGCTTCCAACACACAGTCAATGGCTTGTATTATAACACTGAATACGTAAATAAGTTTAGCGGGTTTTTTACCCGACTACGGCGAAGCTCAAAGGGAGGTTATGTGTTTGATTTGTACCGTAATTACTAAACGGCTCAACCGATTTTGATGATTTATAAATCATTAGATTCGTGTTGATAACGCGAGTGCTACAGGCTATATAGTACTATATGGATATAAAAAAAATAAAAAATAAAAAAATATTTTTTTTTATTTTTTTGCCGCGAGTAATTTACTTGTGATAAAATTGTATAAGTATTATTTCAAAAGTAACATTTTAGAGTTTGTTTAAATTTACAATCAAATCAAATCTTTATATATTCTGGGTAATAGAAAATATTTTAAATAAAAACTACCAACTACTACTACTACTAAACCGAACTAGATAAAATTTGGTAAGAAGATAGTTTGAGATCCTGGGAAGGATATAGAATACTTTATATCCCGGAAATCATCCCTTAAGGGGATGATTATGGAGATGAAAGTTTGTATTGGGAAGTAAGTCAGGGACGAACCCGAGCGAAGCAAGGGTGAGTCGCTAGTTTAACATATGTATTTCTTTTGTAAATATTTGTCTTAAGAAACAGAATATTCATTGTCGGAAATGAATTCCTTATCATTTTACTTTATCCAGTAACTTTAGGAGTGTTATCAAAGAAACAATTTGTCGGCGCCACCTTTAATTTAGCCTTTATTTAAGTTTTACATCTTATTCGAATAAATTTCATCGAAAGCAGTACGATAAAAGTTCGTCTGTTATGAAACTAGGTAAAGTACGAATTATGTGGAGTTTTTGGAAAACAAATCGTTTTTGTTCAAAATTTGTCTGGGAAATGACTTTTAATTTATTACGTTTTCCAACATTTGCCATGATCAAGGCTTTTCATTTACATAATTGCTTGGAGTGTTATTTCTGAGAATAATAGAATTTTCGCACAAAACGAGTTTGAATATCATTAATAGGATTCTATTACATATAAATATTTTTTATGTTACCTAAAAACATTTTAAATCTTACATTTATTTGTATAATTAACTTTGAACATGCATTTTATCACTTAAGTTTACATTTTACAATAAAAAAATTAAATTATAAATTGATTAATTTTCCAAAATAAATCGTTTTTTAAGACTTAAAATGAATGAAAATTATTAAAAACGTAATAATTACTTACTCCATGCAAAATTAGTTTTCGGGTCCGGTGACCATTTGCCAACGATGCAGGATTTCTTGAAGAAAGTAGATAGAGCTCGGAGCTCGTTTTCTTTTGGCGAGATAGAACGATCCGTCATTTTGGGAAACACGGAACGCTTCATCAGCATGGTTAATGGAATCTGTCAGAGAAATGAAAATATAAACTTACTTTAGACATTATTTCCAAGAGTATAAGTTAGATAAGAATAATAATGCAATTTATTTTTTATTTCGAATTATCCTTTTAAAAAATATATGTACAAAATCTTTATAGTTACTTAGAAAATACAATTTTGTAACCCAGACAGGATAGAGTGAGAATATGTATATGGGTCGGTCGGGTAAGTTAAATATACGTAAATGCCTCTTGTATTTGTGGAGTTATAAACATTCAGAGCATGAGGGCGCCGGAAACGTATGCAACAAGTATAAGATTTTCCTCTTAAAATCTGGCTTTTTATGTTGAGTTCTTCGTATGTTTTTGTATTTTATAAAATTAAATTACGTCTAAAAATATTTACATTACCTACTTAAACATATATATTACGTGTGTATTTTATAGTTACTAATTTTAAAATTTGAATTAAAATCTTTATTGAAGAAAAAGTTTGCGAAACTCTATAACATATTTTATATACAGTAGCGAATATTTTTTTTTAACAGGACACTTGTTATGTAGGTAATATTGTGTAAGTAAGATACATTAATTTGTATGAATGAGACAAAATTTCATTTGTGTCGTGCAAAATAATCTATTGGTACATATAATAAAATGGTAACTAAGCCGAATCTGTACATTAGATATTTTTTTGGAAAATCTTATTGAAATAAACATTAATATCGATACAGAGGCCGAATCTATGGTTTTTAGAATTTTTGTCTGTCTGTCTGTCTGTCTGTTACCGCATTACAGAAAAACCACTGGGGGGATTTTGATGAAATTTGGTATGGTGATAGCTGGTTATCCGGGTCAACATATAGGATACTTTTTACCGCTGCAAAATATCTCATTTTTGAGAAAAAATACTAAAACAGCAATCTAAGAGTATACTAATATGTAAAACCTAAGAATTTGGTTTTTGATCATCTGAACGCGGGTGGAGCCGCGGGCAGTGCTAGTATATTATATAACTATTAACTACCTATATATTATATTTGTTACCTAATTTTTCCATTAAGTATATGAAATTGTTTTTAAAAACACTTCTAATAGTTTTGTTTTTTATTTAACATGAAAGAACTTTCATTTGAGAAATAACAGCATGGTGTTAGAAACACGTAGCGTGCGGGCTATTATACGTGTTCACGAAATTGAATTGCATACCGTAGTTTCAATTTTAATTTTGACTATAATAATAACTATATCGTTTTCTTTATTAATATTTCAAAATAATGTATACATATTATAAAATTGTAACTAAGCCGAATCTATAAATTAAATATTTCTTGGAAAATCTTATTGAAATAGCCATTGTTATCGATACAGAGGCCGAATCTAGTTTTTAGAATTTTTGTCTGTCTGTCTATATGCATCACGAACCGAACCGAACCGAACCACTGAAGGGATTTTGATGAAATTTTTATATGATGATAGCTAGTTATCCGGGTCAACATATACATAGGATACTTTTTACTGCAGGGAAATATCTCATCTCTGAGAAATCTATACTAACAGTTAAAACGTACCTAAGGACGATCCCGAGCGGAGCGAGGGTGAGTCTCTAGTAGTATATAATATATAAACGTTGGGGGACAATTTTATTAAAATTTAAAGTTAAATTTAAATTTAAGTCTTTTGGATTTCCGTGCCTATAAGTAATTTAAACTGTTTTAATGTTTAATTTATTCGACGTTAATCTATTATAAATGTGTAAGTTAATTTTGTTGATTTACGCTTGATTTTTAATAAAAAAAATTCCAGTAAATAACACGGTCACTATAATATAATAAAAATGTCGTTATTATTTTAATTTTTTCAATATATTAAAAATAATATTGTTATAATTTTAGTTTCAACGCTTATTTGTTTTTAAATTATACTTTTCACGTTCTATATTTCGTGTTGCAGGGGCTGTCGTATGTTCGGATTGACGGAAGGCAGTAGTTGAAAACATTTTCAATTTTCCGCTTGTTTTATGACCATGTTAAAGTTTTGCAGTTTCATTTTGTATTAACTGTGACATCTACATATATATGATCCAAACACATTCGAAGATATTGAATTTGCGACCTCAAATCTTATTATTGCAGCAGTTAAAACGCATAGATCAAATGCATGCTTAAAAACGATCATACTTGTATTTGAACTTATCATTTTCCATTTATTTATAAGGTAATTATTTGCAAGATGTCTGGAAGCGAACAAAAACAAAAATAATCATGTGTTTGTCCCATTAGTAAATAGTATAATAAAATAGTGCCTCGCAGATATAAGTTATTTTAACATTTAAATTGTATTTATTTCTCTATCGCTCGTTCCGATATCAAAGGTTTCGCTATTTTCACAACATTGCTTAAAACAAATCAGCCGAGTGGAAGTTTTAGACATACAGGTACGTTGTTGCTTAATGCCATTGTAATAAAATTGGCTTGAAATTCAGACAAAAGAAATTTCATTTACATTACATTCGTATCGAAATAAAACTGAAAAAAAAGATGTCGTTCTTTGTATTGTCAAAATTAAATTTGTTTGTCACCGTCTCTGTGATGTGAATAACATTTTTATTAAATTTGTACAGCAACCAGACAGACGTATTAGACTTACTTCACTGAATTGGAGCTATTCTGAAAGAATTGATTCATTTTGGTCTCGCTTTTGTACATAAAAATATATATTGTTCGTAGATCAGCTGAACTGTATAATTGGTATGAAACATTGGAATGTCAGTAAAGAGCTGACTTTCGTTATAAAAAGTTATTCGAAGCTATAGAGAGGGTAAGAGTAAAAGAAATTATTATTTTACATAATAATATGTAATTAGCATTATTATTAATGATATCAACTTTATATTAATTGAAAGATTTCTATTTTATAACGTCAGGTTTAATGTTCTGTCAACGGACCCATTCTCATAAAGTTTAAATAAAAACATCCGCCCCATTGTAATAATAACTTTTAGAGTTATTTTGAAGTCAGTATATCTTTTTAGTAAAAAAAGAATTTTTTTTGTATCCAGTATGGAAAAATATAAATTCGTAAGTATCGTGTGTTTATTACATGTTGAAATTGAAATAGTTTTTACCCTTCATACTTTTGGGACCGTTGCGGTGAAAGTATAACAAAATTTAATATTTTGATTATTATAACATAACAAAATATAATACAAATATTTCGTTGAAGTTATTCAAGCTTTGTGAAGCATGATATGTTGAAGCGCTCCCTGTGTGTGGGTTAAACCGTAAATGTTTATTCTTTTGTCTATCTTAATAAAGGAAAATTTGCTTGCTATTAAATATATTTTACTAAATTATACATATACAGACTCAGATACTTTGATGTAGATATGTACCTGTTTGAAGTAATCGATAATGTAGTCAAGCTATATGTAGTTTTTTTTCTATTTTCTGTTATTGTGAGCATGCTTTGTATAAGTTCTTATATATATAACATTCGTAATTACATGCAGTTTGAATTCAGAGAACTTTCGTTTTTTTTTCGTTACTGTATACTTTTAAAATCCATGCATTTATTGATTTAAACGAGAGGCTAGAGTTCCTTAAGTCTCTTTTTTACGCCGTCAACGGGCAGGTTACTTTGAAACTCCTACTCACTAAACCCCACAGCGGAACCCGTTGCCGCAGTGCATTGGGGCGTTGTAGGATCGCTTGCGCACACACTACAACACCTCTCCTTAAGAGTCACTGATCCAAGAATATTTAAGAAAAATAAACCAACAAACTTCTTTATTTTATTCTAAAACTTTACAGTGAGCGTATCACGCTTATAGAACTCTCCTTTCACTCTTCCTTTAGCGAGACTTTGACCTCAAAAGTCAAGAACTTTGTAAGTAGTTAGTGTTATATGTTTCTTTTATTTACTTATACGAGTATATCTTTACACTTATTTTAATATCTATACAACTTGATTACATATTCTATCTTATGGCAAACCACTTTCGTTTTTCCAATCAATATTTTTTGTACCTTTATGTACCTGTTCAATCAATTCGACTGATTTATATCTAACAAATACTTGATGGAATGGACCTTCGGAGTGTCTTAACTTGTACATTATTACGTTAAAATAAAAAGGATTTTTGTAGAGATCAATTTAGCAATGTTGACGAAAATGAAAAACGCTAGTAAGACACTGATAACTAGATATTTAATATTTATGAATTTAGTTCATATATTTTATTTATGTATTATACAGTATTGTTTTGTTATAAAATTACCTAAGTTTAAATAAACTACAATTTGCTGTAATGAGTGTTTCTTCTTTGAGTTGTTCCTTAGAAATAAATAGATACTAAATACTTTTAACTTCAATAATTTCAGGCATTAATTATCCCTGCAAAGTATATTAAGATTACGGTAATTATATATAATACTACCTTGTATCCCACGTTTCTGTTAACTCCAGTATGACAAGACTTTAAGCCTTTTAGTTGATCCAAATTGTTGATGTTTAAGTCCTTGTGAACAACAATCACGGCGCCATACCGGAACTCCGCTGAAAATGAGACAATAATGACAAAACACTGTTTCTAGAAAGTCTTGAACTAAACACTTTGTGTATATTATTTTATTATTATTAGAGCATTTTAAGGCTGTACTTCTGAATAGCCCATACCTCCGATTAATCTCAATTTTGGTATACATATGAATTTCGATGCCATGATTCGTTCCTTATATGTTATTCAAAATACCCGCAAATTTTATTTTCAAGGTCAAATGAAAGAAAAACTTTGTTTTAATGTTTTTTTGCATTTATTGCTATAAATGTTGATATTAGAAAAAAAAGTTTCCCACAAAAGCTGTGTAGATCATAAAAATATTGTCATGGTTTGTTTAACACGTTTTATGAAATTGAAATTTGCGGATATTTTGAATACCTTGGTCGTTATCAGCATGGCTAAATCCATATGTATACCAAAATTCAGATTAATAGGAGGTATAGGCTATTCGGAAGTTTTACTATTTTAATATAATTTCTTTGTCCTTCATTAATTAAACAACGAACAACACACTAATGATAATTTAGTTTTGCATAAAAAAAGTTTATGGGAGAGTGGTGTACACTATAGAGTATAAGACTAGATTTTGCTCTACGTCTTTGTCTTATTAGTAAGCTGCAAGAAGCTAGTGTTGTAAGTAGTTAGATATTGATCGTAGTAAGAACTCTATTAAACCAAGTTCAAAATGAAGGAGGTGCTCAATTCATCAGTATTTTTTGTGTCTATACGCGATATCTTCGTCAGGTGTGAATCGATTTTTACAATTTTTTAATGTATATAACTCTAGTATATTTAATCATCTCTCTACTTTCCATTGTCCACATTGTTTTTTGTGTGTCATTTAAACTAAAAACTTCTTACAAAGCATATTTACAATATTCTAAGTTTGCGGTTGTAATGCCGCCGACGCCTTTGTGCACAACAATTTGTGTGAAACCATTACAATGTTTGAAGTCTTCCTCGCCGTCAACTCGTTTTAAATTGACTTAAAAGCTTAGATATGTTTGTGATTACATCTTATATGTACCTACTTTATATTTTGGCTTAATAAAGTAATATTCTTTGAACCGACTTCCAAAAAGGAGGAGGTTCTCAATTCGCCGGAATATTTTTTTATGTACGAGTATGTTCGCCGATTACTCGAAGACGCCTGAACCGATTTGGAATTTTTTTTTGTTTCAAAGGGTATACTTTCCAGGTGATCCCAAATATATTTTATCGCAATCGGTCGAGCCGTTTTTTAAAAATTATTTAAATAAATTGTTAAATCGAATATGTTTTTAAAAAACTTTCTTCTTACAAATTACCTGCTTATTACGACTTCATTAAAAATGGAAAAATAAAAACTTAACAATACCTACTTCCAGGCACTATAATGTAATAAATAACTAAACAGGAGTTTTCATTTAGAATAGGATACCTAATCATATATTTTAAGCATTCGAAACGTCGGGAACCAAAAATCAAAATAAATCCACGAAATAATCCGAAAATATAGTCTTATTTAAAATTTCAAACATTTGCATAAATCTAAGAAAGTTTAAAATATATTATATTTCTAATTGTGTTAAAACTTATAGACGGTCAGTTTAATTTTCGCGTGAAAAGGTTTTTATATGGGTGTGCTCATAACTAAAAGATAATTTTCACGTACAGGTGTAAATAGATAGTGGAATAAATATAAAATCAAATTAATCTAAGGGAAAGGATTCAATATTAAATTTTAAACCTTTACGAAGTAAATTTTAATTTTAACAAAGCGGTACAACTCATTATACTGCTTTGTAAGCAGGTGAAATACGTCCGGAACAGTTCCGAAATAGAAATTCGTATGTACCTATATAACTTTTGCAAAGCCACAATGGCCCTGCTTTTGTTAATTATCGCGACTATAAAACAATTTCATTGGGTTTTTGTTCTCAAGCGACATAATAAAAGGCGGCCGCGTAATTAAGAACCTTTTTGTGTTTATACAATAAATTAAAATTTGATAGTGGAATGTTTTTGAGTTCATTTTTCTAGTTTTAAGAAAATAGGTTAAGGTTTGGAAAAATTATCACGATAGTATTTTGCAAAAGGAAATCTCTCTTTTAATAGATTATATATTAAGTTCTAGTTAACCTTTATTATTCGTAATATTTATTCTCTTTCCACATTGCAATGAGCGAAGAGATATTATAATGAAGGGTCGGCGTGTTAGCAATTTTTTATCACGGTGCCAGTGGCGCCGGGATATTAGTCCAAGAGCTAGTGAACCCTGGGAGTAACGGTCTCCCTGTAAGGTTAGAAATTTGTCTATTTACGGTTTATGGCATGCTAAGAGCAATAGCCATGACCTGGCAGGCGTCAGCCCTGCACGTCATCAGCCCCTTTATTTTTTGAACTGTTTAGTAAATTGAATTTTAAAACTTGTTTCTGTAAATTTGAAAATTTAATAGGATAAAGTTTATTTATTGTACATTCTAAAAAAAAATTGACAGGCGATTACAATAAGCAGAAGTATATGACAGATCAATTAGAAAACCCACAGTTGATGAGGTAAAATAAACTTTATCCTGTATACTTAAAATTTTTATATGTTTTCAAGTAAACGTCTCAGAGTAAATATGTACAATGCCAGGCGGTTTTGAACAGCATAAGACCTTGACAGGCGAGGGGACAGCTGCTAAGGGCGTGCGAGTGAGAGATGTTGCGTGAATGCCTATAGTGCGAGTGAGTCCGTCCTTTTCAAGAAGAGGTAAAAAAAACCATTCCAAATATTGCAGAAATCGAGTGTATATCAGAAGGCATTCAAAGAATTAGGAAACGCAGAAATAGTACAGAAGAAAGAAAAAAATTTCCCGATACTAGAGAAATTTGTATGCCAAATGTATGGTTTGAAATGTTCAAAATTAAATAATGCACGTTATGAAAAGTTCCTTGCTACGTACAACACAAATAATCCTAAAGTGTTTATGAAAAAAGTAGTAAGCTATGATTCATCAAATTTACCACCCTGTCAACGTGAACTATATCAACAATTATTGAGAACTGCCTACATCTCTATATATATATAAAAGAAGGTCGTGTTAGTTACACTATTTATAACTCCAGAACGGCTGAAACCGGCTAAAAATTGGCGGGGAGGTAGCTTAGAACCCAGAGACGGACATAGGATACTTTTTATCCCGTTCGACCACGTTCCAATTTTTATGATATTTTAATTTTTGGATTACTCTTAGTCCGGAATAGGTAAGTATTAAAACATCAGAATAATTAACGAAAAAAAAATACAATTTATATGGCTTACGCTGGCTAATAACTTTTTATATCTATTCAAAACGTACCTAGCGACGAACCCGAGCGAAGCGAGGGTGAGCCGCTAGTCTTTATATATATAAAAGAAAGTCGTGTTAGTTACACTATTTATAACTGAAGAACGGCTGAACCGATTTGGCTGAAAATTGGTGGGGAGGTAGCTTAGAACCAGGAGACGGACATAGGATACTTTTTATCCCGTTCGACCGCGTTCCCGTCTGACGTGACATAAAACTCAAGAATGGGTGGAACAATTTTTATGATATTTGAATTTTTGGATTTCTCTTAGTCTGGAATAGGTTAATAAGTATTAAAACACCAGAAAAATCACGAAAAAAAAATTAAGATTTATATGATTAACACTGGCTAATAACTATTTATATCTATTTAAATCCTAGCGACGAACCCGAGCGAAGCGAGGGTGAGCCGCTAGTTACAAAATATGGCGAAATTGTAATTTAAAAGAACCAACAATTCTTACACCTGAAAATAACGGTTGGAACTTAATTGATAGTCGTTACAATTTTAATTGGTTTGAGGGGAATACGGTTCCATCTTCTATATACGACATACTTTTACAAGGACCTGCTGATACTGCCACAGCACAATCGACTGAAACTGAGGAATGCATTTCAGGTAACATACAACTATTTTATTCCGTAACATTTAATATGCAGTCCTACGTAATTGAGCTTGATATTTAATTCTTAACAACCTTATTGATTCATTCAAATATTTTTTTACTATTTTCAGATGAGGAAAACATTGTTGAAGAATCAGATGATGATGAAAACAGTGATAGCGAAATTTCGGATTATGCTGAAGAAAATGAATGTTAAAAATAATGTAAATTGCATAAAACCCAATAAAATACATTGCATTTACTGTATGCGTTCATGTAACATTTCTTATTTGCACGCCCTTAGCAGCTCCCTGTCCCCTCGCCTGTCAAGGTCTTATGCTGTTCAAAACCGCCTGGCATTGTACATATTTACTCTGAGACGTTTACTTGAAAACATATAAAAATTTTAAGTATACAGGATAAAGTTTATTTTACCTCATCAACTGTGGGTTTTCTAATTGATCTGTCATATACTTCTGCTTATTGTAATCGCCTGTCAATTTTTTTTTAGAATGTACAATAAATAAACTTTATCCTATTAAATTTTCAAATTTACAGAAACAAGTTTTAAAACTCAATTTACTAAACAGTTCAAAAAATAAAGGGGCTGATGACGTGCAGGGCTGACGCCTGCCAGGTCATGGCTATTGCTCTTAGCATGCCATAAATCGTAAATAGACAAATTTCTAACCTTACAGGGAGACCGTTACTCCCAGGGTTCACTAGCTCTCCAGCTATATTATCGATGATGTCACCCTAAATTATCTTTTTCATAGAATCCAACTCAATTACAAAAAAAAAATCTTTGAAAGTTATTCTCAACGGGTACGTGCAACCCAAGCACGGCAAATTTTGTTTTTCTTACACATTGTAAATTGAAGGGACGATGACACTCTCTATAAGTGGGTGACATAGGAGAATAATGTCCCATTCCGCCAACATCCCATAAGCTACCACCTACGTATGGGATCCCTAGCTTAAAAGTGCCCCTAAAGTAGCCCCTAAATTAAATTTCGTTTTACCATCGTCGGAGCCCGTATTTCTAGTACCTATATTTAGGTGGTATTTTAACATTTA